TTAACCATTTCAGTCTCTGACAGCGGGAACCCACCCATGGGTGGGAAGGGGGCGGGGTGTGCTGGGACTGGATTTAACTCCCGAGAGACTCCAAGCTGTGGATTTGTGTTGGGAGGGTGGAGCAGGCTGAGCTCTCTGCCCTGTAATGAGGTGTGTTGAGTCTCTGCAGACCCCCTGCCCTGGGGTTTCTCTGGCTGAACTCCCCATGTGGCAGATCTGTGACCCTGCACAGTGCCAAATGGAGTGTTGGGGGGTTTGGGGCTGTGGTTCAGGGTCCAGGACACGGTTTGAGGAGGGCTCAGTGATGCTGGTGGTTGTTTATCCCCCAAGTCCGGAAACGCTCTGCTGGGAAGGAAAGGGAGGGGGGAGCCAGGGCTGTTCCCAGCAGTGGAGAGGGAGGGATGCCCTTGGTTCTACCCCAGGACAGCCCCATATGTGTGGTCCCAGTTGTCCTTGGCCCCCAGTGTTGCCACTTCCCTCCCTCTCCAGCTCCCCGGTGGCTCTTCAGTGACCAGGAAGGGTCGAGAACCTGCTGGTGGCCTGGGACAGGAGGGACAGGACGGTGACAGGTCAGTGCTGTGGCTCTCGGGGTGGGGTTTGGGTGCTGCTGCCTGGCACCCTTGGGTGTCACAGCCCTGTCCTCCCTCCCAACCTTCCCGTGGATGGAGCGTGGAGGGGACATGTAAGGAAACGCGTCCTTTGCCCTCCAAGTGTGGTTTTCCTGGGGATTTCCTGGCTGATGCAGGACAGGGCATGGGAAAAACATCAGCTCAGAGCCTGAGGCACTCCTGGAAAGGGGGTTGTCCCCATCTAAGAAGTGACCTGGCTTTAAAATTTGGTTTGGTCCCTTTGGGTCTATCAAGATGGACCTCTTGAGTGTGATGGGGAGTGTGGGTACAGGTGGAGAGGTGATGGTGGTCTTAATAACAGGGAGAAGGTACAGGGATCCGGGGAGCAGCTGGAGTGGAGACGTGGCCATTGTTTGCCCCAGCACGGGGCTGTCAGAGCCTTGGGGACACATCCAGCACCATCCTGACTGTGCCAGTACCCCGTGAGGAGCCAGTGACACCACCATGTCCCAGGCAGGAGGTACAGTGGAGCCTTCTGTCCCTGGGGAGGCACAAAGGAACCCAGCACTAGTGTGACCCTCTGTTGTTTCCTCAAATCAGCACCAACCTCCATCCCATCCCGGTGCTGTTTCTCTTGGATTTTTGATCCTGAAAGCACCTTTTACCCCAAACCTGGCCTTCAGGGTGCTGGGCTGCTCCAGGAGCTCCTGTAGCAGCAGCCCCTGTCCCCACGTCCCCACCATGTCCCATCTGCACTGTGTGGGGAGGGTGGTTGGCCCTGGATGGAGCAGGGGGGGTACAGAAATAAGCACTGGGGGAAATGTACAGGGGGCCCTGCATGGCCCACCCTGCTCCATCCCCCAGGAGCCGAGGAGACCTTTGAACACCGTGATGTGGTCATCAACACCCAGGACAAGGTCTCGGATGTGTACACGCAGCTGGAGAAGCTGGGAGAGTAAGTGGGGGGGGTCCCACATTCCCACGGCCTGGGCATGGACAGCCACAGCCCTGGTGGGATGCAGGGCGCTGGTGGTGACTCCTCCATCCCTCACCCTCGCTCTGTCCCAGGGGGAAGTTCGGGAAGGTGTACCGGCTGCGGGAAAAAGCCTCCGGCAAAATCCGTGCTGGGAAGTATTTCCGGACACGGACGGGCAAGGAGAGGGCGGCGGCCCGGGCAGAGGTGGAGCTGATGAACCTGCTGCAGCACCCCCGCCTGGTGCAGTGCCTCGCTGCCTTCCAGGGCCCCACGGAGCTCGTCATGGTGATGGAGTAGTGAGTGAGGGGGGCTGAGTCCTGTGTGGGGGCGGTGGGGACGCTGCCCGGCTCTGCCAGGGGGAGCACTGGCGGTGGGGAGGGGTCCCTGGGGTCCCTGTGCCGCGGGGTGCTGGGGTGGAATGTAGGATGGAAGGGGAACCTGCAGACCCCGGGTTAAGGTTGGTGAGGTGCTCCCAGTGTGCTGAGTCTGGGTTCCCCGGTGGGACTGCCCCTCCTCAGGGCTGGTAGATCCCAGCGGGGTCCCCAGCACCTTGTCGTGCCCAGCATGGCACTGGGGAGGGGTCCCTGTGCTGTGGGGTGTGGGATGGATGGGGAACCTGCAGACCCTGGAGATAAGGGTGATGAGATGCAACCAGAACATCAGGTTCTGTGGTGGGGCTTCCCCTCCTCCGGCATGGCAGACCCCCCCAGTGGGGTCCCAGCCCCTCGTTGTCCCCAGCGTGGCAGGGGGGGAGCTCTTTGAGCGCATTGTGGATGACGACTTTGAGCACACGGAGCCCAGCAGTGCCCAGTACGTGAGGCAGATCCTGGAGGGGCTGCAGTTCATGCACGGCCAGGCCATCGTCCACCTCGACCTCAAACCTGAGAACATCGTCTGCGTCAGCCCCGACAACCACTGCGTCAAGATCATCGACTTCGGCCTGGCACGGAAGCTGGGTGGGCAAGGGTGGGGGTCCTGGGGGTCTGGGGCAGGAATTGTGACCGTCATGGGGACAGGATTTGGCCCAGAACATCAGCCAGGAGCGTGGTGTCCTCCTGCCTTGGTGCCACCAAACCTGACCCTTCCTGGTGACAACAAGATGCTCTGGGGAAACCCATGTGTCCCCAGCCCTGCTGCTGAGGTGGAGACCCCCAAGACCCCTGTGGCTGTGGGTGCCCAGGAATGCTCTAAGAGAGCACCAAGACTCGTGATGAGTCCTGGAGGGTGGCAGCTCCATGGGCACGGGGGCTCATCCACTGGTGGGGACTGGCGTGTCACTGGGCTGCTCCGGGGGGTCCCAGCTGGACGTGTGTCCTGGGGAGGTCCCAGACAGACACGTGCCCCTCCATCTCCTCTGCAGCTCCAGACACCCCCGTGAAGGTGTTACACGGCACCCCTGAGTTCATGGCCCCAGAAGTGGTGGCCTTCGAGCCCGTGAGCTTCTCCACAGACATGTGGAGTGTTGGTGTCATCTGCTACATCCTGTGAGTGGCCTCCTGGGAACAGGCAGCTGGGGCTGGAGGGGAGGCCGAGCTGCCACTGATGTCCTGGGGTCACCTCTGCAGGCTGAGCGGGGAGTCCCCCTTCCAGGGGGACACGGACATGGAGACGCTGAGCAACATCACAGCTGCCCGGTGGGACTTTGAGGAGGAGACCTTCTCCGAGATCTCCCCCCCAGGCCAAGGACTTCATCAGCCAGCTGCTGCAGAAGGACCCCCGGTAGGACCCAGGGGTGGAGTTGGGTGGGGTTTTGGGGTGCTGAGGGGGTTTTGGGGTGCTGAGGTGGGTGTGGGGGGGTGCTCTGTGCAGCTGAGGGTCTGATGGTGGAGCAGCCCCCCCGTGACCACCCTGTCTGTCCCAGCCACCGGCTCCCCAGTGCAGGGGCTCTGCTGCACCCCTGGCTGCAGCACCCCCAGCCCAGCAGCCCCAAGGCGCTGTCCAAGGACAGGATCAGGCAGTTCCTGACGCGGCGCAAGTGGCAGGTACTGGGGGGATGATCAGGGTGTTGGGATGGGGGTGGCTCTGGGTGAGGCTCAGTGCTCCTTCTCTTCCCTACAGAAAACAGGGAAAGCCCTGCTGGCCCTCAACAGGCTGACCCTGCTGTCCCAGAGCCTGGAGAGGAAGGCATCAGAGGCTCAGGATGAGGAAGGTGATGGCCCCAAAACACCCATCAACCCTTCTCTCTGCTCTGCCATCCCCACCTTGGGCTCCCGGGCAGCTTCTGCCTCTTTTTGCTCCAACCTACCCTGGTGCCACTAAACACCCAGGCATGTCCCCTCAGTGCCATTTCTGCTCCATGACCCAAGGTTCCTTCCATCCTTGGAGCGGGTGGATCCCACTCTGGGTGTGACCCAGATCTCTTGGGATCCAGAGCTGTTCCCTCCAGCCCAGGAGGGAGGTGATGACTCCTCACCATTCCCTCTGCCCCTCTCCCACAGGCCGGGGCTGCAGCCCAGAAGAGGAACAACCCTCCAGGGCTCTGCCCACACAGGGTCCTGGTTCCTCAGAGCTGCTGACAGAGCAAGAGGAGGAGGATGGTGGGAGCACTGCAGCCCCAGGGGAGGCAGAGAGCAGTGACAGCGAGGCTGTGTCACCCCCTTCCTGGAGCACCTAGAGCAGAGGAGGAGAGAGGAGCAGGGAGGTGGTGACCCCTCCAGCCTGCGGTGGATCCAGACCCCAGACCCCCTCTCCTGTGGTGAGCTCTGGGGTCCCACGGTGTCCCTGTGCTGGTGTGGGGACAGCTGTCCCTGCTGTCCCTGCAAGGAGCCCATGCTCCTGTCTCTCCATGGCCACCCAGGCTCAAGCTGTCACCAATAAAGCACCAAGGATTTTTGTGCTCCCTGTACTGGTCCTTTCCCCCCCCAGAATCACTGGGAGGGGTGGGAAAGAGCTGCCCAAGCTGTGTCCCCCCCTTCGGGAGCTGGTATTGGCCCTGGGCACAGGGGCTGAGGTGGCTTTGGCAGCAGCCCTGGGTGTCCCTCACTTGGAAGTCTTCCCTTGTCATCAGGGGGGTTTGGGATCGTGTCCTGAGCCCACAGGAGCCAGGATGAGACCTGGTCCCTTCCAGTCTCTCCATGTCTGAGCCAACTCTGGTACCAGCAGGGCTGGCAGGAGCCCAGGACCTGCTGTGTGAGCTCCATCCTCAGCCTAAGGAGGCAGCTGAGGAAGAGCTGGGTGTGTGGGAGCCCTGGAGAGGAACAGCCTGGACACTGGGCTGACCATGAGCCGTCAGTGGGCCCCTGGTACCAAGGGGGTGAGTGGGGTCCTGGGCTGCAGGATGTACTGCCAGCAGGATTTAGGGGGGATCCTTCCCTAATTCAGCACTGGTGAGGCCACCCCTGGAGGCCTGTGCCATGGTCTGGGGTCCCAAGTACAACAGAGGCACGGACACCCTGGGGAGGGCTCCATGAAGGATGGGGGAGAGACTGGAGCCCCTCATCCATGAGGAATGTCTGGGAGAGATGGGAATGCAGCTGGGTGCAGGGAGGATGGAGCCAGGCTCTCCTCAGCAGTGCCCAAAGTCCGTGGGCACCTCCTGAAACACAGGAGGCTCCACCTGAACCTCACAAAACACCTTTTTACTGGTGATGGAGCGCTGGCACAGGGAGCCCAAGGGGGTTGTGTGCTCTCCATCCTTGGAGATATTAAAAAACCTGTCTAGGCCTGGTCCTGGGCAACCTGCTGGGGCAGGGGGAGGGACCAGGTGCCCTCCAGAGTTTCCTTCCAGTGTCAACCATTGTGTGATTCTGTGAAAACCCACCTCCTGTGGAAGCTGGTGGCCACCATGGCAGGAGGATCCACGGCAGGATTTGGCATTCTTCGGGCTCCAGAGATGGTAGAACAGCCAGAGTGCTTGTGGCCCCTTGGCTGGGGGGCTCCGTGGCTCTTCTCTGCTCTTCTCTGGGGATGTGTCACCTCCCTGTCCCCTCGGTGTGGCTGACAGGACTTTTTTATCAGTGCCCAGGCCTGCTTAGAGTTTCTGTGGCAAAAGGCTGTTCCTGTTAATGATGTCCGTGGCTCTGACCACAGGAAGGACAGAGGGCCGTGGGGTGGCAGATTGTCACAGGCCCTGCCCAGGGCTCGGGGGTCTTGTCTCTTGTTGGAAGCAGGAGATGGAATTTAAGAAGGAACTTAATTTGGAAATTGGTGTGTGGACCTCCTGGTGGAGAAAGAAGAGCCCTTTTGGGACCCTCTGGAGAAAAGGAGGCTTGGGGGGAACTTCTTGATCTCTCCAGCTCCCTGACAGGAGGGTGGAGCAGTGGGGGAGTCAGGCTCTGTGCTCCCAGGGAACAAGGGACAGGAGGAGAGGAAAAGGCCTCAAGCTGTGCCAGGGGAGGTTTAGTTTGAATATTGGGGAAAATTTCTTCATGGAAAGGGTTGTCCAGCCCTGGCCCAGGCTGCTCAGGGAAGTGGAATTCCCTGTCCCTGGAGGGATTTAAAAGCCCTGTGGATGTGGCACTTGGGGACACAGGTCAGTGGTGTCCTTGGCAGTGCTGGGGAAACAGTTGGACTCTGATCCCAGGGGGCTTTTCCAACCTGAATGATTCCATGATTCGATTCCTTGCAGGGTCCAACCCTGGCCCTCCAACAGCTGGGTGAGACACCTCCTGACAGAACTCACCTGCTTCCTCTCCCTCCTCTGTTTTCAGCAGGAGCTGTGGATTCGCTGCTCCAAGCGGGAGGAGAACTCCTTAGAAACAAATAAACAAACAGAAATATTCCATATTCTACCCACAGCATTTGTTTTCCCATCCCAGAGTACCAGAGGGAGGCTGAGGAACCCCTTTCACACACATCACATCCCAGTTTTTGCCCGTTCTCTGTCCCATGTTTTCCTCCTTACACAGATTCCAAACCCATCCCCTGGGAACCCTCTGAATGTGCTCAAGCTGCAGATGATAAGCAAACACCAAGTTGCTATAATCAATCCCTTGATGAGCTATTTACCATGTGACATTACCAAAATATTTCTGGTTGGGAATGATGTTTATCTTCCTCTGTTTTCCAAACTCCTTTGCAGCCTGGAAAATCCAAGTCCCAGGGCTCCAGACACGGAGTTTCTTGCTCTAATCCTGTATTTTATACTGTAAAAACTGATTTACCTTCAGAAGAAGCTGGTTCCTGCTTTCTTCTCCTTCCCATGGCCTAGCACATTAAAATGTGCAGTTCAGGAAGGAATGAAGAGTGGAATTATACCTGGAACTCATTACAGCCACTGAGAAATTCAGCAGCACTGAAAATAGAATTCTAATCTCAGCATCTCAGAGGCGAAGGAATTAAGATCTTGGTCCCTCCGTCATGACAGACCCTTGGACTGACCTTCACTTCAGGCACACAACTTCAGAGCAGGTCCTGAAATCCTCAGAAATCCTCCATGGAGGCAGAAAGGATGAATGATGCCCTCTGGAGAACCTTGAGAGGGGGTTCCCACCTTATCTCAGGTCCAGCTCCTTGGAGGGATGTGAGGTGGGGTCAGCTGTCCAAACACCCTCAAGCTTCTGGAGCTTAATCCTCTAGTTCCAAGGGATCTGATAACCCTGGGTTTACCCTGGGCTGCACAGTCTAGGTCTGGGAATGCTTGTTTGGATGAGGGAATGCTGCCTGGGTAGCTCCAAAGTCAAGAAACAGTTTGTTTGTTGCTTTGTGCACCTACAAATTCTGTGGAAACCCCCCAGAAGATACAATGTCCTGCCTGAGTGTTTTCCAGGGAATTGAAATTAATTAAAAAAACAAACTGAAATCAGCCTTAATGTAAAAAATGTAGCCCTGTGCACATGTTGAAGATGATTATTTGAATGTGTCGATTCTAGAACGGGTTTTTTAAGGACTTTTATTGCAGGGAGTGAAGAGCCTTGGGGTAATTTGGGTTGTCAGATAAACCTTAATGTATCAAACACCAGAAAAGAGCTGAAAGGAGAGAAGACACGAGGGTATGAGGACTTGGCGGTGACAAGGACGTGGTGGTGACAGAGGCAGGGGAGGCTCAGTGGAGGGAGAAGCTGCAGGTGCTGAAGGAACCTCAGGAACACCTGAGTTGTGATGCTTTTACCTCTCAGCGAAGCTCCCCAGGGGAGTGGGACACCCCGGTGGGTGTCCCCACTTCCCAAAGGTCCCAGCCATGTCCCAGCCAGGTCCTGAGGGGTCAGGAGGCTCTTTGTGGTCACAGGAGCTCAACAACCATCACCCCAAGGTGCAGCACCCAGGGGAAGAGCAGAGGAGAGTCATGAAGTCCCCCCAACCAAGGGACCACAGCTGGTTTGGGTGGTCTGGATCCAATCCCTGTGCCTGGGGTTGGGATGAGGAGTGGGCAGGACACCCCCCTCCCCCCCAACCTCGTCCTCCTGGTATCGCTGGTGCAAGGACTGCCATGTCCAACCTGCACCAAACACCTCCAGCAGCCCCAAAATCCGGCCTTGGCTCTCTTTCCAGCTCAGTTCTGTGCCCGTGGGAATCAGCAGAACCCAAAATCCCTCATGGAACACCTCCCTGTGCAAAGGGGGCCACGAGCCCTGTCCTTCCCAGCGCAGAGATCCCGTTCCAGAGCCGGCTCTGGCAGCTCCATCCCCCACCGCAGCCCTGCCCGCGGCCAGGAGATGGTACTGTTGGGCTGGTCCTGCTCCTCCCGGCATCCAGAGCCTCGGCTGCCCCTTCCCGAGGTCCTCTCACCTTTCCCAGCCGCGGGCAGGAAGGTGTTGCCAGCGTGGGCCTGGGAGCTCTGGCAGCACTTGGGTTTCATCCCAAACAGGTCACCCAGAGAAACTGTGGCTGCCCCTGGATCCCTGGAAGTGTCCAAGGCCAGTTTGGATGGGGCTTGGAGTGACCTGGTGGAAGGTGTCCCTGCTCATGGCAGGTGGGACTGGATGGGCTCTAATGTCCCTCCCAGCCCAAAGCATTCCATGATTTTATGATCCTGGTGTGCAGCTGGATGCTTATGGGGGTCCCAGACCTTTGGGGTCCCCTCTGCCCAATAGCAGAGCCCGTCCCCGGTGTGGGACAGCTCTGGGGGCAAGCCCTGGCCCTACACATGGTCCTGGTGACATCTTCCCCCTGAACACCCCTCTGGGACTGCATTGGGGTGGCTGTCCCTGTCCCCACCAGGCGTCACAACTCCTTCCCTTAAAAACCCGGATCAGGGAATGAGACACCGAAATATTTAATGAAACAAAAATATTTAAACCACAAAATGGAGCTTTGGAAAATGAGAACAAACCCGAATGTGGGTGACCCCAATTTTGGTGCCGCTGAGCTGCCCCATGGCTCCTCCCCAACCTCCCGAATCCCCACGGATGACGCAGCGTCACGCCGGGGGAACCTCGGGAAGCGGTGGCGTGTCCCCCACCTGGAATTTGGGGTTTGCAGAGGGCGGGACAGGTCGGCAGAACAGGTCTGGCACGTTCCCCTGGTCCCTGCGGTGCCGAGGGCCGGGTCTGACACCTCGGCAGGGCTTGAGGGGACCGGAGATGCCGCGAGAGCCGGACGGACACGGTGACGTTGGAGTGTGGCCTGGGAGCTGTGGGGAAAGGTCTGGACCACGGTGGATCCGGGGGTACTGGGATCCCCTCCGGATCCATTGCCCACCCATCACTCAGCTGATGTCTCCTCGCATCTTAGGCTTGGGCAAATTTTACCAGATCTCAATAAATCTCACCGAGTGGCACCAAATCTCACCAAATGTTGGTGAATCTCACCAGATCTCACCGAGTATCGTCGGTGAACCTCCCCAGATCTCCCTCAGTCTCACCAAATCTCAGGAAATCTCACCAGATCTCAACAAATATGGGCAAATCTCAACAAATATTGGTGAATCTCACCAAGTCTCATCAAATCTCGACAAATCTCAATAAATGTCCCCGAATGTCACCAAATCTCACCAAATATTGGTGAATGTCATGAAATGTCACCATATATTTGCGAATCTCACCCAATCTCAGTCAATCTCACAGAATTCCACTGGCCCTGTCCCACGAGCCCCCTGCCCGTGGCACCCCTTGGGGAGGTGGTTCTGCTCATCTGGCTTTATCCCGGCCTGTGGAGCAGCGGGACCATCCCGGGCTGTAAAATAAAATAAGATCAATAATAAAATGAAATCATTACGATTTTAAAATAAAGGAAAATAAATTAAAATCATAGACAATAAGAAATCAAAGTGTAAATGAAATAATAAATAAATAAAATGAAATAACACATAATAAAATAATAAAAAATAAAATAAAAACAAAGTATATAATAGAATTGTAACAAATTGTTATAAGATAAAAAGGACATAAAATAAAAATTAAAATAAATGAAATGATAAAAAATAAAAATAGAGATTTTAAAATAAAAAATAATAGAATGAAATGAGATTGACATGAAATAATTTATTGAAATGTAATAAAATAATAAATGCGTAAGTTAAGAAACAAAATAAAAATTAAAGCAAAAATTAATTATATAAATAGAATGAAAGTAAATTAAAAAAGTAAAAATGTAATAAAAGCAAAACCAATTTGAAAAAGAAAAATAAGGGAAGATAAAGTAAAATAAAGATAAGTAAGGATAAACTAAACTAAACTAAATTAAATTGAGATAAAATAAAATAAGTACAATTTATTTTAAAAAATAATAATAAATAAAATACATTAAAATAAAATTTAAAAATAATAAAAAATAAAGTTATGAAAATTTATAAAAATCTAATAAATAATAAAGTAAAAAAATTAAAAATAACAGAAGATAAAATAAAAAATAATAATAAAAATGAAACAAAAATAAAATAAAAATAAATAAAATAATAAATTGTAACAAAATAAGTAACATTTATTTAAAAATAAATAGAAGACATTAAAATAAAAAATAAAAATAGAAATGATAAAAAATTAATAAAATAAATAAAAATGAAGTAAAATAAATAATTAAATAAATAAGTAAAATAAGTAATACAAATAAAATAAATAATAAAATAAAATAAAATAAAAATGTCAAAAGATAAAATAATAAAAATAAAATAAATAAAATAATAAAATATAATAAAATAAATAAAATAAAATGAGGTAAAATAAAATGAGTAAAAGTTAATTTAAACAATAAATCAAAGACATTAAAATAAATATTAAAAAATAAAAAATAAACAAAAAATAAAATATTAGTAAAATAAATGAAATAATAAATTATAACAAAATAAATAAAATATAAATGAAATAAAATATAAAATACAGCCGGCCGAAGCCCGGCCGCAGCAGCGCCGCTGAGCTCCCTCCCCGCAGCCGGGGCAGGTGCCGGGGCCGCCTCTGGCTGCGGCCGGGGCGGGGGGGGGGGGGGGGGCGGGCTGAGGCGTTTATAGCGCGATAACGCCCCGGAGAAGTTGCAAACGCCGGCGAGCGGGGACGGGCGAGGACGAAGCTCCGCGCGGAACCGCAGCCGCCCCGCACCGCCCGCCATGGGCAACGCGGCCGGGGGGCTGGAGGGGGGCGCGGCGGGGCGGGAGCCCCGCGATCACCGCCCGCAGCCCGGGCCCCCCCCCCGCCGCCGCCGCCCCGCCGCCCCCCCGCCAGCCCATGCCCGGGGCCGCCGAGCTGGAGGAGAGGTTCGGCCGCGTCCTGGTGAGCGGGGACGGGGGTTCGGCGGGGAGACCCCCCCGGGGAGGGGGGAGGGGGTGCTGGGGGGGATCCGCCGTGGGGGGCCCGGACTTTCCACGGGGGACCGGCTGGACGGGGTCCGGAGCTGCCGAGGGGGTCTCCGAGCATCCCTGCCGGCACTGGCATCGTTAGCATCGGTATCACCGTCGTCATCACTCTAATTACCATATTTTTACTATTATTCCATTAATCATTTAATTTATTATTTAATTAGCATTCTTATTAATAACGATGACTTCCCCCTCTGCTACCCCCTTCCCCCGGGGACACTCAGCCCTGCCCCGGGATGAACCCCCAGCCGCCCCCGTTGCTCTCACGTTTGGAGGGGGGTCCCAGCCCCCCAAACTCTTGGGGTGACCCCGAGTCCCGGACCCCGCGGAGGCTCCGCCATGGCGGGATCGGCGGCAGGGCCGGAGCGCCGCAGGCAGCCGGTGCTGCGGATGGCGGTGCTTCACTCACCTCTTCCTCCTCCTCCTCCTCCTCCTCCTCCTCCTCCCCGCAGCTGGGGAAGCCCCCCGGCATCGCTCCGGGCCTCCCGCTGGGGGTGGGAGCCGCGTTCCCATGGGATGAATGGACGGATGGATGGATGGATGGATGGATGGCAGCTCTTGGAACACGGGGCGCTGCGGGAGATCGGCTCCGTCCTTGAGCGGGGCTGGCCGGCCGTGACCTTCGCGCCGGGATGGCCGCAGGGAGCCGACCACGCTCCGCCCGCGTCCCTGCCCTCCACAGAAATGCTCCGTGGAAAAAAAAAAATCGCTGTTTTAATCCCGTGATCCCCCCGGGATCCCGGGAGATGGAGCCTGTTCGCCGATCCCGTGCCGGGAGCGGCCGCGGGCAATGAGCTCCCATGGATGCAGCGGGATCGGCTCGGTGGGATCCCCCATCGCAGCCCCTGAGCACGAATTACTTGGAAGCTTTTAAACTCATGGCATTTGGGGGATTATTTGGGGATGAGCATCTCAGCCAGAGCCTCTGGAGCTTCTCTGCCCCCAGCGTGGGCTCCAGGGCGGTGGCAAAGGGCTGTGCCAGGCGGGACCCCCGTGGGACCCCCGAAACCCCGAGGAGGGGGTTTGCCGTGGGACGCCCATATTGGCGGGTGGCTGAGCAGGGTGGTGGCGCCTGAGATGGCTCCGAGTGTCACAGCAGTGGTGGCAGGAGGGGACAGGCAGCCGGGGAACCTCGGGGTGTTTCCGCTGCAGCCGCGAGGCCCCAGGAAGCGCCGCTTTCCGCCAGGCTGGGTCCAGCAGGTTGGAAATCCGGAAAAAAAATGGTCAGAAAAGGGAAAAACGGTGCTCCAGGCCCTCGGTGCCACCCTGTCTGCCTTCATCCCGAGGGAAAGCCCTTTCCCAGGAGCAGGGGGCATCCAGGGGGCTGCAGATGGGAACCGGGTGTCTTGTGAAACCAGTTGTCCCAATCCCGCTTCCTCCTTTTGCAGGGTCCCTTCCGCCTTCTCACAGCCTGGGGGGATGGGACGGGGGGTCCTTCTGCCCTCACCCACCACAAACAGGTTCCTTGACTCTGGATTCAACTTTTCCACCTCCTGAACTGGTGAGATCAGTGATGGAGCAGAAGGTGATGAGCTGGGAATCTCCCGGTGGGACATGATCCAGATCTGACACGTTGCCGTGGTTACAGTGATGCTTTGAGAGCTCAGTGCAAACCACTTTTGGGCTGGACATCCCGAACTAGGAGAGCTGTTGGGGCAAAGCCTTGGCAGAAAAGCTAATGGGGGAGCCCAGGGGTTCCAAACTGCCATCGGGAAGGGGATGGATAAATCCACCACATGCCAAGAAATGAGGAATTTAGTTTTCCCAGAACTTAATTCCCCAAAAGTTGGCTCCTTCCCAGCTGGGGCACTGTGGCAGATGTCACTTTGGCAGAGTGACGGGAGGGTTGTCCTGTGCCAAGTGGTTTGAGATGTGCCGAGGTGGCTTTTTGGGATGGAGCGGAGGAAGAGCATCTTTGCTGCTGGGATGGGGATGCTCAGATGCTCCTGCTTGGAGCAGTGAGGATTCTTCTCCCTTTGCACATCAAGAGGCAATACTGGGAATATAGAAGTGAAATTGCGAGTTGGGGTGTGGTGGAGGGAAAGCCAAAATCACCTGGGAGCGTTAGGCTGGAGCCTTGGGAATGGGGGCCAGTGGGGACGGGGTCTGCTCCATCCAGGAGCTTTCCCTGATCTGGACTTTGCTGCCTCTTCTCCCAGGTCCTGGGGGAGCACATGGCACACGTCACAGCTGCAGATGTTTGCAGATGTTTGCAGATGTGCTCTTGGCCTCAGGGACGGGTCACCAGTGAGCCCTGGCCGAGTGTCGGCCTCGACTCAACCAGGAAACAAAGCTGGTGCTCGGCTTCCTGCTGGATCCACCCCCAGCCCGGTCCCAGCCCAGTGTCCAGGGCTGGCTGGGTGATGTGGAACTGTGCTGGGGTGTCCCCAAGGGGGACGTGCCCTGCGTGGGGAGGGAAAGGGTCTGTGAGCCAAGAGCCACTGAATCAGGGACTGGAGAGGGTGTTTGTCCTCATGCAGGACTCCCCCGTGTGAACCAGGAGGGTATCCCGGGGTGGGCAGGCAGGGATCCAGCAGGGATGAGGACATGGGGGCAGAATCAGGCTCCTCTCCCCAGCCTGCGCTACAGCAGCTTCCCAAAATAGAGCCAGAGCCGCAGGCGGCAGCGGCCGCCCCCTCAGCCACCTCCCCCCCGGCGGGACCGACCGTCCTGGGGACCCGCCCGCTCCTCCTCCGGCCTGTCCCCGCCTGCCACGGGGAGGGGTTGGGACCTGGATGGATCCAGGGAGGCCCTGATGGGATGAGCTCACCCCGGGAGTGTCACCCAGCCTGGCTTGCTGCATGCTGGGGGTCAGGGGAGCCCGGTGTGGGCTGATCCCAGGATCCTCTGAATCCAGCCTGATCCCAGGATCCAGCCTGATCCCAGTGCTGAACCTCAGCAAGAGGCAGTCAAGGTCACTGGAGGGAACACCATGGGACAGCTGGCACTGGCATGTCCCAAACCCCCTCCGGTGGGAGCATCGCGCTCCATGGCCACGAGGGATGGAGCATCCCAAGGCTGGAGCACCCCAAGGCTGGAGCATCTGAGGTGTGGAGCATCCCAGAAGCCCCACACAGGGGTGGGATGAGGGTGCTGGGTGCCAGCTGGAGGGTGCTGGATGAGGGGAGGTGTGATGTGGCTGCTGGGGGCAAGTCCCTGTGGCTTCTCCATCCTTGTCCCCCAAAGAGGAGGAGGAGGAGGACTGATTCCTTTGGTCTCCCAAACACCTGGAAATGTTTGTCCTTCCTGCAACCAGAGCCCCTAAATCACCACCTGGGGTGAGTCCCTGCCTCATCCCCTTCCCTGTGGTGGGCAGGGTTGGTGCCTGGACTGGGATAACCTCCTGTACCATGTGCTGTCAAGGCTTTCCATCCCCTTTCCATGGATGCACATCCCCTTGTGCCACAGAAATGGTGCTCCCAGAGTTCAGCCTGGTTCTCAGGCAGCTCGTTGGAGTTTTGCAGCACAAACCCTCCCGTGGAAGATGCCAGAATGTTCTGTGCCAGGGTTTGGAGCAGAGCTCGGCTCAGCCCAGCTCCGCTCACGTGTGGAACAAAAAGAAGTGTCTGACACCCAAAATAGCTCAGTCCCCCACTGGCCAGGAAAGGAAAAGGTCGTTTTGTACCAGAAAATGATGTCGGTGCTGCTTCACCTCCCCCCAGTCTTGGTTTTATTGTCAGGCAAAGCCCGGCTCAACCCCACAGCCCATGTCAGCTCCCAGCTGGCAACAACCCGGCACTGGGCACGGCTGGGATGGCACTGTGGGCTCCGTGGCACCTGTGTCACAGCAGGGGACATTTGGGGCACCCACTGAGTGGCATGGTGGGCTATGAGGCTGGGGGAGGCTGGGAAGCCCCACACGGGAGTGGGAGGAGGGTGTTGGGTGCCAGCTGGAAGGTGCTGGGTGAGGGGAGGTGGGACAAGTCCCTGTGGCCTCTCCATCCTTGTCCCCCAAAGAGGAGGAGGAGAAGGAGGAGGAGGAAGAGGAGTCCTTCCTCTGACACCTCTGGGGTGCTCAGCTGCTGCTCTGCCCCACATCACCCCACCAGCCAGCCCCACATCACCCCAGCACCCAGCCCCACACCTTCCACACCACCGGTCCCCCCTCCCCAGCAGGAAACGAGAACCGGTTTCTTTGTTTCTTTGTGCTGCTGCTGACGCTTCACAGGAGCCACTTCCTCCCCCCCAGCACCACATGCCCACCCGGGACGCAGCCACCACCCAGTTTGTACCCGAATTGTGCCACATCCTGCCACCCCTCCCAGCCCTGCCCTCGAGGAAGGGACTGCGGGGCCTGGTGGGCAGAGCCACCCCTGCAGGGACATCCCAGCATCCCCCTACCCCCCCTGCACCCCTGTGGGGAGTCCTGTCCCCCTGGAAACACAGAGTCCTGGTTTGTTCAGGTCCCACACGAGGTGAGTGGAAGAGCTGGTCCATGTGGCAGATGGCACACGCCTCTCTGCCGAGGGGAGTGTCCCACAGAGGGTGCCACAGGTGCTGATGGAGCTCTAGGTGGGGTGTTTGGGTGCATGGTCCCTCTTGGCACAGCCCTGTCCCTTGGTCCGACCCTCCTGGAGGACCTCACCCATCCCAAGGATGGCAGCTCGGGGACCACGAGGACAGGGCTGCCCTGCGATGGGGACATCCAGGTGCTGCTGTCACTTTGCCCATCCCAGGACCCACCTGGCTCCAGTGGCTTCATGGTGAGGTTATTTCTGACCCTGCACCCTAATTGTACCCCCTGCCCAGCTCCCCGTGTGAGCCATCCCCTGGCCACATCCAGCTCCTCCCACCCACATCTCCCGGTTTTGGCTCCTTGCGAAAGCAGCTCGACAGGTCCTCGGTGGGGGCGGTGCCGAGGTTCCCCTTCCTGCCGCCACCGTGGCACCTCTCGTCTTGGCCCTGCTCCTCTGTGGGCAACCCACCCCCTGGGAGATGCCTTTCCCCAGGGATGTGGTTGTTCCAGGGCTGCATGCACCCCACGTCCCCGTCCTTGTCACCAGGGCTGGGGTTAAAGGTGACCTGGGGCCGGGCAGTGCCTCCCAGGCGAGCTGATCACCAAAAACTGGGTCTTTTGGCAAAATAAACCACCCGAGCTGAGCTCCAGCCTGGCCCGGGCCATGGTGGGACACCCCGTGGTGTCCTGCCGTGTCACCAGAGCACCCTGGAGGCGGGAGCTGCCCCGGGGCCTCCCGGAGCAGTTTCGGCAGCGCCTGGTGCTGCTCCGAGAGCGGAAACCACGTCACGTCCTGCCGGGGCAGCTGAGGGGGCTGTGGTTGTGCAACGGTGGCACGGAGGGACACCAGCCCCTGCCCTGACATCATGGCTCTCAAGAAACACTGATTTCCCCAGACGGGCCTGTCACGCACCCCTGGCTGTGGGACGGGGCGGTGACTGTCACCCTCGAGCAGGGCCCGGCCTCCTGGGCCCCTCAGCTGTGTCACCAACCTGTGTCCCCACCCCTCAGCCCGGGCACTTGGCGCACTCATGGCATGGATGGACGGGGCCAATTCTTCCTCCTGTCCCCCACCTGCCTTCCCCTTGGGGACCCCCGGGTGGGGACATATCCATGGGATGCTCACATTGTGGGAATGGTGGTGTTCCCATCCTTCCACCAAAGTCCCCATGATTCTATCAGTGTCTCCATCCTGGCAACGGTGTTCTCATTGTCCCATCGGTGTCCCCATCATCCCCCCAATGTCCCCATCATCCCACCAGTGTCCCCATTGTCCCACTACTGTCCCCATTGTCCCACCAGTGTCCCAATCTTCCCACTGGAATCCTCATGTCCCATCAGTGTCCCCATTGTCCCATGAGTGTCCCCCTCCTTCCACCAGTGTTCCCATGTTCCACAGGTATCCCCATTGTCCCACCAGTGTCCTCATCCTCCCACCAATGTTCCCATTGTCCCACCACTGTCCCCATCATCTCACTGCTGTCCCCATCTTCCCACTGGAATCCTTAAATCCTACCAGTGTCCCCATTGTCCCACTGGTGTCCCCATTGTCCCACCAGTGTCCCCATCCTCCCACTGCTGAGCGAGGACAGCTGGTGCTGGGTGAGCAGTGGGTGCTGCAGCCCTGGGGGGTGTGTTTGGGGTGACCCCCCAACGCTGCCACCCTTCACCCCACAGAATTCCATGAACCTGCCCCCAGACAAGATGAAACTGCTCAACCAGTACGACAACGAGAAGAAGTGGGAGTTGATCTGTGACCAGGTGAGGTCTGGGCTCCCTGTCCCCAAGTGCCACTTGTGGCACCCGGCTGTGCCCAGCACTGCCACCCACCTCGTTAGTGGCACGGCACCTCGTTAACCTCATTAAGCATTGATGGAGCGCAGGGCTGGGGACAGGGACACGGTGGCTGCTGTGCAGGTCCCTGTGCCCTGGCAGGTGGCCCAGTTTCAGCCTCTCCCTGGGGTTTGTAGGAACGTTTCCAGGTGAAAAACCCTCCGTCCGCCTACATCCAGAAGCTGAAGAGCTACTTGGACACAGGTGGTGTCAGCAGGAAGGTGAGGGGTCCCCCCTTCACCCCGACCCCCCGGTCCCCATCCCACACAGGGACAGTGCCAATGGTTGTCCCCATCCCACAGTTCAAGAGGCGAGTGCAGGAGTCCACGCAGGTGCTCAGGGAGCTGGAGATTTCCTTGAGGACCAACTACATCGGGTAAGGATGGAGTGTCATTGTCACCCAGCGCTGCCACCATCCCCGGGATGGGGATGGACACGCTGCTGGCTCTGGATGGGTGGTGACAGCAGGATGTGGAGGCTCGTGGCCTCATCCTGTCTCCCTGGAGGGGCTCTGATGGGAGGCTGGGGGTGCTGTAGGACCCGAACCCCGTGTTGGCTGTGGTACCCCCTGAGTGCCAGGAGGGACCCTGCTCCCACCCAGGGTGTCCCAACCCCTTGTGGGGTGGTGGGTGCCCATGGTCCCCAGGGCCAGGCTGTCCTGTCATGGCAGCAGTGGCAGTGGTGGCAGTGGTGGCAGTGGTGGCAGCAGAGCCCTCGGGCTGTGCCCCCCACACATCAGGAGTGGGGTTTCCCATGGCACTCACCTGCCTCGGAGAGCTGCCAGCTCATGGTGCCACCTCATGTCCCCAGCGTGTCCCACCCTTGCTGGGGACCTCTGACCAGGGGCTGGCTCTGCTGAGGGTCTGGGGGCAGGGGAAGGGAGGATGAGGGGGGCTGGTGGAGCACACTAACCCTCTGCACCCTCCAGCTGGGTCCAGGAGTTCCTCAACGAGGAGAACAAGGGGCTGGACGTGCTGCTGCAGTACCTCGCCTTCGCCCAGTGCTCTGTCGCGTACGTGCCTCCCGGGTGTCCTGTCCCCAAGGCCAGGATCAGCCTCCCCTGGGGCTCAGTGGGGCTGGGGGTCCCTGGGGGTGTCCCCAAGGCTGGGATCAGCCTCCCCTGGGGCTCAGCAGGGCTGGGGGTCCCTGGGGATGCCCTCCCCTGTCATCGGAGCAATGGAGCTCTGGATGCTCCATGGCTGGGGTTGAGCAGGGCACCCCCAGCATCCCTGGAGACTCCAGAGGGCCATCTGCCCACGCTGGGGTGCCACATCTCACCCGTCCCCGTGTCCCCACGGGCCGCCAGGTATGACATGGAGAGCGCAGATAACAGCAGCCCCGGCTCCGACAAGGGCAAGGAGCAGTCGCTGGAGGACCTGAACAAAAGCACCTCCTCGTCCCCCACCCAGGGCTCCTCCAAACCGCGGCCCCTCACTGTAAGGTAACGTGTGGTCCCGTCCCCAACTGTCCCCTGTCCCTGTGCCGTGTCCCCCCCGCTCCCCGCCTCGCTGCACCCTCCCCCCCTCCCCGGCCGCGCCGTGCTTGGAGAGGGGCCCGGCAGGGAGACGCAGGCCCGGCCCCAAAAATGGGTCTCCATAATAGGCCCGGTGCTAAAAGTGGGTCCCCAGTGCTGGTTTGGGGGGAAAAAGCTCTCAAGGGCTGAGCCCTGCCTGGAGCTGGGCTGGATCTGTGCCCCCCACTGCGACCCTCGTGGGATGCTCTGGGTAAAACCCAGGAATAAGCAAAAATTGGAGGTGCTGGAGGTTTTGAAGGGAGCAAATCACACCCCCCTGGTTTAAAGCCGGGTCGGAGGAACGGGCCTGTGTCCCCCCAAGCCGGTGCCAGTGGCTGGTGGCTCTCGCTTGGCGCCGCTCGCCCGCAGCCCCGTCTAACCCCGCTCTTCTCTTGCACGCTGCCGGGGACGCGCTGACGGTAGGTGACGGTGACGGGGCACCGGAGGGACGGGGACACCCCACGGGACCCCGCTGCTGGTCACCGGTATCGGGGACAGGGCCTATAGGGCATCCCCGGTGGGCGGGGGGGGATCCCGGGGACACCCCACCGCGGTCACCCCGGGAGCTGTAACGCGGCACCCCGGGGAGCGCGGGGGTCCCTCGCAGTCTGGAGCAGCTCCGGAGGAGCCGGGGTGTCCCTCCCAGCCCCAGGGACAGGTCAGGAGGGGACGTGGCACCCGCAGGAGGGTCCCGTCCTTTGTCTCCCACCCCCGTGTCCCCGAGCGCGGGTGCCCCCGGGGCGGCGCGGGAGCCCCGTTTCTCCCTCCTGTCCTGCAGGCTCTAACGCGCCTCCAGCTGCTGCCTCTCGAACCAGCACATCCACACCCTCCTCCGCCACGTCCGCCCCAGCGCCCCCTGCGGTGCCCCGGGCAGCGATGGGGACAGTGCCCCCAGGTCACCCGGCAGCTCCTGCCCGCCCCGGTGAGCCTCCGAGACCACCCGTGCGCACGAGGGGGCCCCAAAACCCATCCCATCGCCATCGCCCCGTCAACCCACCGCCCCGAGGGCTTCTAGACGGGCACGGGACGCGGGGCTTTCTCCCGCGGGTGTTTCTCTCCCTGGTGTCCCCCCGCCCCCCCGCTGCCACCCCCCGAGCGCTGCCCCCTCCCCGCTTTGCGCTGCGCCCCCGGCACCCCCAGCCCGCGCTCAGCCGCGCTCTCCCCGCCCAGGCTGAACCCCTCGCACAGCAGGAAGACGCTGCGCAACTCCCGCCTCGTCAGCCAGAAGGACGATGTCCACGTCTGCATCATGTGCCTCCGCGCCATCATGAACTACCAGGTGGGAGTGGGCGGGATCCGCGGGCATCCCGAAAAATCCCCAACCCCCGCGGTGCCGGCGTCGGGGTGGGACCTGCTCTCCATCCCCCTGCTCTGAGATGTCCTCACTCAGCCTCCTCTCTGGTGGGCACCTGGCATGGGGGTGGCCCAAGATCCCAGAGCGTCCTCGGGGTGGGGGCAGGAGGACACCGACCCCATTAATGCTCCTTTTTGCCCCCCAAGTCTGGCTTCAGTCTGGTGATGAACCACCCAGCCTGTGTCAACGAGATCACCCTGAGCCTCAACAACAAGAACGCCAGGTAAGACCTGCCCCCTGTCCCTGTCCCCCTGTCCCCTCGCCCACCTCACAGCCCTGACCCCCTCACACTCCATGTCTCCACAGGACCAAGGCCCTGGTGCTGGAGCTCCTGGCTGCTGTTTGCCTGGTCCGAGGTGGCCACGACATCATCCTGGCTGCCTTCGACAACTTCAAGGAGGTGAGTCCCCAGCAGGGACAGCCTCCTTGGGTTCCTGGCTGGGTTCCTGCCTCAGTGTCCGTGTGTGTGCAGAACCCTGCCCCATCCTGACCACACCCATCCCTGGCTCACCCGGGGATGCTCCAGCCGCTGGGCTTGATGTCCCCACGCCAGCGCGTGTCCCCAGGGCCAGGTCCCATCAGGGTTGGGATGGTGCCACTGGCGGGTGCCTCGTGCCCTGCCACCCCTCTGGGCACCCCCAGCCGTGTCCCCCTGGCCCTCAGCCCCCTGCTCCCCCCCCCAGGTGTGCGGGGAGAAGAACCGCTTTGAGAAGCTGATGGAGTATTTCCGAAACGAGGACACCAACATCGACTTCATGGTGAGCGGCTCATGGGACCGATGCTCTGCTGTCCCCAGGCCATCATGTCCCCAAGGGCTGCTTAGCCACCAAATGTCCTGGGGGTGCCCTGTCCCAAGGGCTGCCAGGCTGTTGTGCTGTCCCCAGGCCACTTGTCCCCAAGAGCTGCTGAGCCTCTGTGCTGTCCCCAGGCCTTCAGGTTCCAAAGAGCTTCTCAGGTCACACTGGCCCCAGAGCATCATGTCCCCAGGGGCTGTTGAGCCACCCAACTGTCCCCAGGCCATCATATCCCAAGGGCTGCTGAGCCACCGTGCTATCCCCAGGCCTTCATGTCCCCAAGGGTTCTAAGCCACCAGACTGTCCCCAGACCTTTATGTTCCTGAGGACACCACACTGTACCCATGCCATAATAGCCCCAAGGCCACCATGCTGTCCCCAGGCCTTCATGTCCCCAAGGCCACTGCGCTGTCCCTAAGCCATCGTGCCCCCAAGGGCTGCTGAGCCACTGGTCCTTCCCCATGTCCGCGGGGATGTGAAGCCACTATGCCCTCCCCAGGGGCACCTTGTCCCCGAGGGCCACCACCCCCCATGTGCTGCCTGGGGCACCGTGTCCCCAGGGGCTGCGGTGCCACCCCCGTGCCGTGTCCCCGCAGGTGGCCTGCATGCAGTTCATCAACATCGTGGTGCACTCGGTGGAGAACATGAACTTCCGCGTGTTCCTGCAGTACGAGTTCACCCACCTGGGGCTGGACCAGTACCTGGAGGTGGGTGATCCCGAGGGCTGGGGGTGCTGGGGGGGGACACACCACCGTCCCTGACCGTGCCCCGGCTGTCCTGCGGCAGAGCCTGCGCCTCACCGAGAGCGACAAGCTGCAGGTGCAGATCCAAGCCTACCTGGACAACGTCTTCGATGTGGGGGCCATGCTGGAGGACTCGGAGACCAAGACAGCAGTGCTGGAGCACATGGAGGAGCTGCAGGAGCTCGTCAGCCAGGTGGGCCGCGGGCGCGTGGGCAGGAGCCGCTGACGCAGAGCCCTGAGGGAGGGACGGGGATGGGGCTGAGCCGGCGGCGCCTCGTCCCCCACAGCTGACAGAGAAGCTGCAGGATGCGGAGAACGACTCCATGGCCAAGATAGCAGAGCTGGAGAAGCAGCTGAGCCAGGCACGGCGGGAGCTGGAGGCGCTGCGGGTGAGCACCCACGGGAGGGCTGGGGGTTTGAGGTTTGAGTGGGACGCCGGTGACACTGGTCCTGGGGGTTGTCACCTCTCCAGGAGCAGCTGAGCCCCCCACGGCCGCCCAGCCCGCCGTCCCCGCGGCCACAGGAGTGCTACCGGCTGGCGCTGGAGCGGCGGCTGGCGGAGCTGGAGGAGAAGGGGCTGGTGCAGATCCTGCGTGGGCCCGACGGGGACGTCGCCATCGAGATCGTCCCCGTTGTCATAGAAACGCCGGCAGCCCCCGTGGTTGCTGGAGAGGCCACCGCCACTGTCACCACCGTCACCACCGGCACAGGTACCATGGGTGCGAGGGGGTGAACCCTCCCTGGTGGGGACAGCAGGCACAGAGGAGGGGTGGCAGCGTGTCTCTGGGCAGAGAAGCTGGGGCAGGGACGTGGGGACGTGCCCAGGGACACAGAGTCCCTCGGTGGCAGAGGGGATGTGGTGGTGGCACCGTGTCCTGCCGTGTCACCGTCTCACCCACCTCTTCTTTCCCTTGCAGATGCTCCGGCTCTGGCTCCAGCCCCACCTCCCCCACCAGCCCCTGCTGCCCCGCCACCCCCACCCCCTCCACCCCCCCCACCATTACCAGGGGCTGAGCACGTCCCCCCACCACACCCCGCCCCTCCTCTGCCCACAGCCACCATCCCCCCCCCAGCCCCTCCACTCCCGGGTGCCCAAGTGCCACCACCCCCCCCACCGCTCCCAGGGGGGCTGGAGGGCCCTGTCCCCCCCCCTCCACCACCCCCACCCCTCGGGGGGGAGCTCCCAGCCGGGCCTGGTGCCCCCCAGACTGCCAACGGTTCAGGTGAGTGTGGCCCAGGGATGGTGGGGACGCCCCCCAGGTGAGCTCTGGGGGCACCCAGGGGTGGTTTTTTGACTCCCTCACCCTGTGACGTGTCCCCCTTGCCCGTGACCCCGCAGTGAAGGTGAAGAAGCCCATCCAGACCAAGTTCCGCATGCCCGTCTTCAACTGGGTGGCCCTGAAGCCGAGCCAGATCGACGGCACCGTGTTCACCGAGCTCAACGACGAGAAGGTGCTGCAGGTGAGGACAGGAGGGGGCTGGGGGGCCAGAGGGACTGGGGGGGCCAGGCACAGGGGGTCTGGGTGGGTCAGAGCTGCAATCCATGCTGAGGTTGCCCCCATACCCACCCTGCACCCACCCGCGGTGTCACAGGGCTGCTGGAGGAGTTGGAGGTTGGAGCAGCTCCTTGGCACCATGGAGAGGGACAACACAGGGTCTGGCACCCTTCTCCTGTCACCCCATCCTTGTCCCTTTGCTCCATCCTCATCCTCACATCCTGTCTTTTTCTTCTTCCTCATCTCCATCCTCTGGTCCCCTTGTGCCCTCCTTACCCCCTCCCTGTCCACTTGCTCGTTCCCTCTGCTTGTTCCCTTGTTCCATCCTCACCCCTTGTTTCATCTTCATCCTCTCACTCCTCTTCCCCTTATCATGGTCCTCTGGCCTCGTCCCCATCCCAGATGTCCCGTGCCACCTCCCTGCTGTGCCCTCAGCCCTGTGTCCCTGCAGGAGCTGGACATGAGTGACTTCGAGGAGCAGTTCAAGACCAAGGCACAGGGCCCTGCCCTGGACATCAGCGCCCTCAAGGCCAAGGCCACCCAGAAGGCCCCCAGCAAGGTGACCCTCATGGAGTCCAACCGGGCCAAGAACTTGGCCATCACCCTGCGCAAGGGCGGCCGCAGCGTCCAGGACATCTGCACTGCCATCGAGACGTGAGTGTCCCCTGAGAGGGGGGACGAGGGGGGACAAGGGCGGGCACAGCCTGGCTGGAATGAGGGGTTGGGATGGTGTGGGGTGTGCTGGGATGCAGGGACCAGATATGGAGGGATGGAGGGATGCAGGGACCAGATATGGAGGAATGGAGGGATGCAGGAACCAGACATGGGGACAGAGGGATGCAGAAACAAGAGATGAAAGGATGTAGGGACAAGACACGGAGGGATTCAGGGATGTAGAAACCAGATATGAGAGGGAGGGATGCAGGGACAGAGATGAAGGGATGGGGGGACCAGCTGTGGGGGCAGAGGGAAGATGGGACCAGCCGTGGGTGGCAGGGGGGTTGAGGTCCGAGGTGTCCCACCCCTCACAGGTACGACCAGCAAGCCCTGAGCCTCGACTTCCTGGAGCTGCTGCTGCGCTTCCTGCCCACCGAGTACGAGCGGACGCTGATCGGGAAGTTCGAGCGGGAGCAGCAGCCGCCGGAGGAGCTGTCGGACGAGGACCAGTTCATGATCCGCTTCAGCAAGATCCCACGCCTGGCCGAGCGCATGAACGTCATGATCTTCCTGGGCAACTTCAGCGACACGGCCCAGCTGCTCATGCCCGTGGGTGCTGGGCACGGGCGGGCTGGGGGCTGGGAAGGGCTGGGGGCCTCCTGCAACCACCTCATGTGCTCCCCTCCCTCCCTCCCTCCCACAGCAACTCAACGCCATCATCGCCGCCTCCATGTCCCTCAAGTCCTCCAGCAAACTGCGCCACATCCTCGAGGTGAGAGCTTTGGGGTGCATGTAGGGTGCTGGCAGGGTCCCTGTTGGCTCTGTGCCCCCCTCCCCCAGGGTGCCCTGTCCACCCCAGGCTGTGTCCCTGAGCCATTGTGTCCCTGCAGATTGTCCTGGCCTTCGGGAATTACATGAACAGCAGCAAGCGTGGAGCAGCCTACGGCTTCCGCCTGCAGAGCCTCGACGCGGTAGGGCCGGCGTGGGGCTGCTCGGGGGCACTGGCACTGCCAGGGACCAGCCCCGGGCACAGGGGACACAGGGACCTGCTGGAGGGATGAAGGGACGTGGGATTCAGTTGTGGGGATGGAGGGATGGAAGGATCACCTATAGGGTTTGGAGAGGCATGGGAAGCAGCTATAGGGATGCAGGGAACAGCTGTGGGAATGGAGGGATGAAGAGACCATCTAAAGGGTTGGAGAGGCAAGAGGGGGGGGGGAGTTAAAGGGATGAAGATACTCAGGAACTGGCTGTGGGGTTGGAAGGATGGAGAACAGATCTGGAGAAGTGAAGGGATTCAAGGACCATCTGTGGGGATGAAGGAAGATGGGAAGCAGCCATGGGGATGGAGAGAGGAAGGCCACATGTGAACATGGAGGGGATGTAGGGATGAAGACTCAGTCATGGGGATAGAGGGGTGCAGAATGAACTGTGAGGTTGGAGGGATGCAGACCCAGCCACAGGGATGGAGGGATGCAGACCTGGTGGTGGGGATGGAGGGGTGCAGACTCAGCCATGGGGATGGAGGGATGGAGGGGTGCAGACTCAGCCATGGGGATGGAGGGATGAAGAATGAGCATGGGCATGGTGGGATACAGACCTGGCCGTGGGGATGGAGGGATGCAGACCCAGCCACAGTAATGAAGGGCCAGCAGAGCCTGCCCTGGGCAGGGTGAAGGGCTGGTTGAGGAGGGTCGGGGCTGACCCAGCTCTCCCCCAGCTCCTGGAGATGAAGTCCACAGACCGCAAGCAGACGCTGCTGCACTACCTGGTGCGGGTGATCACGGAGAAGTACCCGGAGCTCACGGGCTTCCACACCGAGCTGCACTTCCTCGACAAGGCGGGCACAGGTAGTGCCCACGGGCCCTGGGCTGAGGTTGTGGCAGCCCCTGGTGCTCCCAGCCTGCCCTGAGCCCGCGCCCTCCCCCCGCAGTGTCCCTGGACGGGGTCCTGCAGGACGTGCGGAGCCTCCAGCAGGGCATGGAGCTGACCCGCAGGGAGTTCCTGCGCCAGGACGACAGCCCCGTGCTCAAGGACTTCCTCAAGGTCAACTCAGAGGTGATGGAGAAGCTGCAGGCTGACAGCAAAACTGCCAAGGTGGGTGCTGGGGTGCTATGGGGGGGGCAGAGGATAGGATTGTGTCCCCCATTCCTACATGGGAACACCCCGGGGTGCTCCCACCTCTGGCCCATCGGAGAGGCTCCTGGTTGGGATGTGGCTCCAGCAGGAGAGCTGGGAGAGATATGGAGTGGGATGGTGAGGTGGGAGAGGCTGGAAGGAGGAGGTGGGTGTTGGGTGCTGCTGCCCGGCCCCTGCCCCCACACCGGGGTGTCTGTGCCCGCAGGAGGCCTATGAGTCGGCTGTGGAGTATTTTGGGGAGAACCCCAAGACCAGTCCCCCCACCACCTTCTTCCCCATGTTCATGCGCTTCATCAGAGCCTACAAGGTAGGAGAGGGCAGGGGGTGTCCTGTTTCTGAGGGTTGGGAGGGGATTTGGGGCGTCTGACCTCACTTGGGGCAACGAGCAGAAGCCACGGGTGAGGCTGGGGCTCATGGGGCTGGGAGACCCTGGGGCTTGGGAATAGCCTTTGGGATGGTCAGTGATGCTGGAGCTGGACTGGGGTGAGCTGGGAGCTTTGTGGGGGGCTGCAGTCCTGCAGCAGGAGTCCCCTGGCTCAGCACACCCTTCCTGCCCCTCTCCCAAGAAAGCAGAGCAGGACATTGAGCTGTGGAAGAAACAAGAGGCTGCGGCCAAGGAGGCAGAAAACAGCCCCACCGAGCAGCAGCCGGAGGTGAAGGAGCTCCCGTGTCTGTGTCCTGGTGGGGTCCCAGCTCCAGCCCCAAGTGGGCTGCGTGAGGAGGGACTAAACAGGCCCTGGGGAGGGAGAGCTGGGCGGGAGGTGAAGGTGAGGGCACCCCAGGTCTGTTGGGGGGTGCAGGGGTGGCCACGCCTCTCACCCACACTGTCCCTCCCCAGCTGCCCATCCAGAAGGCCAAGCGGCAGCAGATGGACATGATTGCTGAGCTCAAGAAGAAGCAGATGGTGAAGGAGCCTCTCATCTACGAAGGCAAAGATGGGGCCATTGAGGACATAATTTCAGGTGAGAGATGATTTCACATGAGGGGTTGAGTGTCCCTCCCACCTCAGACCAGCACTCGGTGCCAGCGGAAGACCCTCAGTCTGGGGGCTGCAGAGGCTCTCAGAGGGGCTGGAGGGTCACCAAGCCCCACTGCAGGGATCAAACCCATCTGCAGCACCTTCCCATGCCACATGGCCAAGCTCTCCCTGCCCTGTCTCATAGCTCTTCCTTCTATTCTGCTTCTTCCTCTTCTCTCCTCTCTCCTGCTCCTCCTCCTCCTCCTCCTCGCTGTCTCTGGACCGCTCTGCTCAGCTCTGAAAACTGTCCCTTTCACGGCCCGGACGGGCAAACGCTCGTCCCGGCTCTTCTGCGACGTGAGTTACAACGAGGAGAGCCCTCTGTAGGTAACGTGGGGCAGGGGCTCGGCGCGGGGGGCCGGGGGCTGCCGGGCTGTCCCACCCGCCGGGGCTTCTCCCCACGCTGCACCCAATCCCGGGGGCACCCCGGCATCAGCCCCCCCGATACGGGCACTGACAGCCGAGGGTTGGGGTCCCACGGGCTGATTGTTTGTAGCTGCTGCTCCTCCTGTCACTGGATGTGGCTCTTGGCTCCTTCTGAGCGTTCTTGTACCCAGACGGGCAAATCCCGGGCAGAGAGACGTGACAAGAGGGAAGGAGAGGTTGAATGTTGGGAAGGAATTCTCCCCTGTGAGGGTGGGGAGGCCCTGGCACAGGTTGCCCAGAGAAGCTGTGGCTGCCCCTGGATCCCTGGAAGTGCCCAAGGCCAGGTTGGACGGGGCTTGGAGCAACCTGGGCTGGTGGAAGGTGTCCCTGCCCATGGCAGGGGATGGGACTGGATGTTCTTTAAATTCCTTTCCAACCCAAATCACTCCGTGATTCCGTGATGGGTGGTGGGTTCCGCCGGGTGTGCAGCGAAGCTGAGCCGGTCCCTGCCCTTCCCCCCGGTGCAGATCTGCGGAACAACCCGTACCGGCGGGGGGACAAGGGCCGCGGCAGCGCCAAGAAGCGGCCGGCGGGGCAGGGCCTGCAGGCCACGCCGGACATCGCGCTGTGACCGGCGCCGGCCCTGCAGCTCCAGGACCGGGGCAGGACCATCCTCCCGACGCAGAGGGGACCACAGGATGCCACCCCACTGTCCCGGGGCTCCGCGGGGGGACAGTGCCCGCTCCGAGCTGCTCCAGCCGCTTCCCGTGCCAGCTCCCCCTGCCCGCCCCGGGCTCTGGCGCAGGGACCCCCCCGTGCTTGCTTGGCGATGCCCCTGAGCTCCTCTCCCCCAGGCTGCAGGGCTGGGGGACCCTCCTGGGTACGGGCAGGGATGGGGGAGCACAGAAAGGGCTCCAGCTTGTCCTGGAAGGCAAAGAGGGGCTGCCCCGTCCCTGCCCCGGCGCTGCTCCATCGCCCGCCCGCCGCGGCACCAGCCCCGCACTGGTGTGTCCCACTCCTCAGCTTGCTGGTGCCTTGGATTCCCGCTGCGGGAGGGGAGTGGGTGTCACCCGGGACCCGGCGGTCCCCGCACATCTCCCGCACCTCCCTCGGCCCCGCAGAGCCCCCTGAGAGCCGCGTCCTCCTCCTCTGCTGCAGAGCTCCCACCCCGGGCCCCTCCCGTCCCCCGGGGCCCGGCAGCGGTGCTATTTTAACAGGGATTTTCTAAGTCTTCCTTCAAATTCCTCTGCGCTGCGGGAGCAGGGAATGCAACACCCACATGCGGGGTGTCCCCAGGATCCCAAGGCTGTGCCGAGCAGCAGTTTCCAGGATCCCAAGGCCGGGCTGTTCCTCGCCGCAGGGGAGGCTCCGGAGCTGCGACAATCAGCAGCAGGGACAATCTCTGCGAGGTGCTGACACCTCTGCCCGCCTGCATCCCCCCAAATCCACCTCCGCCGTTGGGACTGGAGCCTCTGGGATCCCCCGTGACCGTCAGCCCGGGGGGCAGGAGCTGCTCCCTGTGCTGGGCAGCCTCCAGCCAACACGATCCCAAAGGCTGCGGGGTCGCTGCTGCCGCCAGAGAGGCCCCAGAGCTGCACGAGCCTCCCGGTACCGCACCGGACCCGATCCCTCGATCCCTCGATCCCTCGATCCCTCCTCCCCCGCCCCGCTGCTGCCGAGTGACCCCCAGCCCCGCACTGTGGCAATTAAACCCCTCAGTGCATCCACTTCGTTAAACGGCCCCCGCTGCCAGGATGCGGCTGCACCTCCCTCCTCCTGTCCCTCCTCGCCAGTCCCGGCTTTAGCCCAGCTCAGCCCAGAGCAGCCGCTGCTTCCCGCTGTATTTAAGCTGCTTCAGCGCCGGCTCCGCGTCACCCGGGGAGGGGTGGGGAATGAATGTGTAACTTATAAATGCCTTTAAGCCAGAAATGTAAACCATTAACTGCTCATTTGTATACATTATTTTTATATACTGAAGGCCTGTTTAATTCTAAAGCAGAACTGGTAATAAAACGTCTCAGAGGATAATAAAGGACTTTGTCGGGGAGAAGGTTGGTTTGCAGGGAGGGGGGGATGCTGTGAAGGAGGGAGGGAGGGAGGAGAGGATGGAGAGAAGGAGGGAAGGAAGGACCAAGGTCCAGAACAAAGCCCAACATGGGCTGTTCTACACTGGGCTGGGCTGTCCTTGGAGCCAAGAGGGGGATGGATGGTGCTTCCCTAAGCTGAGTTGTACCTTTCCAGAGAAGTCTAAGCCCTCCCCTCCACTCTGCCCTCATGGGATCCCACTTGGACCACTGTGTCCAACTCTGGGGTCCTCAGGAAACAAAGGACCTGTTGGATCAAGTCCAGAGAAAGTCATGGAGATGCTCCAAGGGCTGGAGTCCCTCTGCTCTGGAGCCAGGCTGGGAGAGCTGCAGGGGTTCACCTGGAGAAGGGAGAAGGCTCTGGGGAGACCTGAGAGCCCCTTCCAGGGCCTAAAGAGGGTTTATAAAAACAGCCTGGACCTGCTGCACCTCCCAGGAGACCAGCAGCTCCTGGTGCAGCAAATCCCCTGGAACAGGACAGAGGGAGGGACAGGGACTGTCTTTTTGGAAGGAGATATGTCAGGATATGCAGCAAAGCCTGTGCTTAGATCCACCAGAGTTATTGCTGCCTCTTCATCCCCAGAAATCACAGAATATCCTGAGCTGGAAGGGACCCACAAGGATCATGGATTCCAACTCCTGGCTCTGCCCAGGACACCCCAACAATCCCACCCTGTCCCTCAGAGTGTTGTCCAAACACTCCTGGAGCTCTGGCAGCCTTGGGGCCATGACCAAACCCTGGGGAGCCTGGTCAGTGCCAACCACCCTCCCTGACCTCTCCCTGCATCCCCCAAACCCAAGGCTAATTAATACATAGCAGAATTTCATCAGACCAGGCTCCTCTTCCTGAAAAATATCCTATTCAGCACCACCCTCTTGTTCCTTGGAAAATGTATCAAACCACCAGCAATGAGAATAAAAAGAATTTATTTTTTTTAGCTTTATTTTTTTTTCCCTGTGAAAATGCAGGTCAAGAAATCACAGTTTTATAAAGTGTCATTCATTCCACACAAGCTCCTCATTCTGGCACCTTCCCCCACACCAGCACTGCCCATCCCAAACTGTTCCTCAGCTCCATCTTCCCTCACCAACAGCGATTTTTTCCAGACTTTCGGAAGGAGCTGCACGACAGGAGCCATCTGTGTTTATCACTCCCACTGCTGCTCGTCCTCCCCACCCCGAGCTGGGGTTCTGTCCTAAACACTCGTTATGAAACCTCACCAAGTTCCAGCCAAATTTTGAGGAAAAGCTTCCCCTGGCTCTCTCCTGTCAGTATTGCACAGAACTCGGCTGGAACACGGATTGGCTCTGCCTGTCACGGGAAGCCAAGGGGACAGAGCTGAGGGATCTCAGGCTGGTTGGAACCACAACCTGGAGACCCTCCCTGGGGGAGAAGCCCAGCTCGGGGCAGTGGGATGGCACCAGTGTCCCCCAGGTGGGTGACAGGTGACTCTGGGCAGGGACAGCTGCCACCACCCCCCACCCTGGGACTGGGGACCTGCAGCCTCACTCACTGCTGGTGGTGGCAGCAGAACAGGACTGAGGGCTCTGCACAGGACAGAGAGGCTGGAGATCCTGGGTAATGCTGGGGTGAGGGTGCAGAACACACCCCCCCAGGGACCTGGGGAAAGGGACATCCCCACGGACCCACAGGGACACCTGGGGGGGTTTCCTGCCCTCCCACCCCTCGCGCAGGTGGCCCGAGTTCAGGTTAATGCTGAGGGTGAAGGGCAGAGTCCTGCAGCCAGTCCTGCTGCTCCCACATCCCTGGGCATGGGGGCACCTCCCAGGCACCAGGAGCACGAGGTGCAGCCTTTGGGACGGAACCCACCCTGCTTTTGGAGGGACACATCACCACAGGCTTCTCAGAAACAACCAAGAGGTTTTCCCTCTCAGAGGAAGCCAGGCGCGTGCTTGGGAGCTCCTGGGAACCCTGGGAGAGGCACTTTGCTCCCTCCTGCTCCAGAGCTTAAATTCTGAGTAGTTTATGGCATCTCAAAAGGAATTGAGCCAACCCACCCATTCCCCCACTCCCTCCTGGAAGACATGTGTGTAATGTGTTAATTACTTACTAAAAAGCCTCTGAACGTGGCATTGCAGATATAATTAGGTGCCTATTTTGGACAACATATTAAGTGCTTTAGAACAAAAAGTGCTATAAAAATATACCCAGAGTGGTGACAGGTTTCAATTTTCTCCAAGAGCTCCACTTTTTTATTACATCAACAACTGGAGTTTTCTGATTAAGGATGTCACTGCCTGGTGTGGCAAACCCAGTCCCTGTTCTGGGACATCAAAGGGAAGAGCATCCCTTGTTTAATGAGTGCTGGTCCTCAAAAAGGAGGCCCAGAGTTTAACTTTTCCCAGTCACTTTCCAAGTGAACTTCAGCTTGGGAAAACTGCCAGCATTCCTGCCCCACTGTGTCCCCCAGACCTCCATGGATCCAGCAGGGCCCACCTTGTTTTTCAGGAGCCGTTTCTCTGCTCAGCCTGGATGCAGAACCCCTGCTTGGAGGCCACTGCAGTTCCAGAGCTCTGGAAGAGCCACAGCCACCACGAGGGGCTGTGATTTCCAGGGGTGCCAGGTCTTGGAGCAGTCCTGAACAAGCACACTCAGGGCTCACACCTCCCTCTGGCTTTGTTCTGGGCTGGGGAAGGGTGAACAACACCCACACACCTGAATTTCACCTGTGAGGTTTCAGGATGTTCGAAACATTCACAAATCAGTAAAAAAAAAAAAAAGCTTAAGGCATTGCAGGCCCAGCTACCCATCCCACTCCATGAACCAGCTGGAAGGGAGGGGAGGATGGGAAGCCTCATGAGGCCAGGCTGGGCCAACAGAACTGGGGCACTGGGCTCAGCCCTGGCAGCTGGGAGGGAGATTTATATAAACTCTGCAGCAAAATTCAGCCCTGTCAGAGCTGACAGAGCTACCATCCCCTCCCCTTCCTGGGGAGCTGCCTGGATGGGACAGGTCACCTGAAGTCCCACCTGAACAGTGGGAACAGGATGAAGGAACAGCCCCTCCACCTTCCCAGCAAGGAATTCCATACCCTCCTCCTGTCCTGTCTGCCAGAGACACCAGAGAGAGCACCAGCTCCTCCAAGACCTGCAAGTGGGAGCTGCAAGCAAAGCTCTTTCTGGGAACAAAGTTCTTTTCTGATTCAAGAAGGAAATGATCTGCGGGGAAGGGTGGGAGGTGAGACCAAGAACCAGCCAGTTCCTGCTGTCGATTCTCCCCGTGCAATAGGCTGGAGGTGGAGATGATGCTCCCCAAAGCCCTACAGAAGTGTTTTTTCCTCCATCTGGAAGGAAGTCAGGCAGCTCCTCTCAGCACAACCAACCCCCAGCTGCACTGAGGGCACCCAAACTCCTCCCCTGGGCGAGCCCAGCAGCTCCGGCCTCACCCCTGAGGCTGAGCCACAGTTCTCACCCAACCCCCCTGCTCTCCTGGAAAGCACAACCACATTCCTCCAAAAAGCAGGAATTTCCACCCACCATCCTCCAGCTCTATCACTCACACCCAAAACAAGTAATTCCCACCGTCCTGGGGAACATCTGAGCTCAGGACATGCCTTGGGACCGGGTCAGAAGGACGACACGAGCGAGGCCCGAGCGCAGTGGAGCCGCCGTCCCGCCGCAGCACAAACGCCAGCCACTGCACTTGGTGCTCCACCACGGCAGGGGAGGTTGGAAGCTTTTGTAATTCCTTCTTTCCACGAGGTAAAAACCTCCAAAGCCAGGCAGGGCCTCAGGGCCTGTTCTCCAGCTGGCCGTGCTTGACGCGCCAGGTCCAGCCGACGCTGCAGTCGGGGGCCAGGGTGCACTGCAGGTCGATGCCAGAGTCGGGCACCTCCATGTCATAGTGCACCGGGTGCCCCTCCTTGGTGACCAGGCTGAAGGCAGGGACTGGGATCTGGGAAGCAGAACACACAGAGTGGCACTTGAAGCCTCCTTCAGAACATCCTGTCCCTTTATCCCCCCAGCAAACAGCTTCCCAAGGCAGGGAAGGAGCCTGGAGAGAGGCTTGGGCTTGGCAGGAACATCCCGAGCTTCTCCTGGGAGGAAGGGTCTCAGAACCAGACAGGGCAGTGCCCACCCTGCTGCCAAACTGCTCCCACGAGCTCTGGGCTGTGGCTGGGGGTGCCTGGGGCTGTGAACTCCTCTGCAGGTCAGTGGTACTTGGCTTTGTAAGTCCACCAAAGAGAACCAGCACCACTGGAACATTTTCTGGACTGGTGCAACCTCTTTTACAGCACATTTTACACTCAGATGAGTCGCAGTCCCACGGACACTCTGGGAGCTTCTTTCAGGGACTGCCAAGGATGCCCACAGAGAGGTTCACTGCAGTGTGCCAACATCTCCTCCAAACCAACAAGTTGGAAGCACCACAGCCAAATACAGCCTGTTTCCCTGAGCTGATGCTACTGCTCAGGATGAAAAAGGCACATAGTGATTTAGGGAGAGGGGAAAGAATTTATCTTTATAGTTGAGAAAAAGGAATTTTTAAGCTGCAGCACAGGCACTTCCTAAGATGCAGATTCCTGTTGTCCCTGACAATTAACAGTGGCTTATCATTCAGGTTCTACATTAGGAAAATTTCTTCACTGAAAGAGTGACCAGGCATTGGAACAGGCTGCCCAGGGCAGTGGTGGAGTCACCATCCCTGGAAGTGTTCAAACAATGAGGAAAGGTGGCACTTCCAAGCTATGGTTTAGTGTGCATGGTGGGATTTGGTCAAAGGTTGAACTGGATGATCCTGGAGGTCTTTTTTGACCTTAATGATTCAGTCATTCAAAAAACATCCTCTGCTACCACACTCACAACAGCAGCACTGAAGACCTATTACTAAAGGTGTCACTGGGACCCTTGACCAATTCCTGGTCCCTGGATTTCAGGTGCTATGAGCCTGTGTTAGGGAAGAAATTGCTCCTCAGACAAAAG